CTGTTTACTTTCACAAAATAAAGAATAAAAGAAAAAAATTAAAATACAAAATTTAATGTTTAGAGTAAAAGTGTAATAATAATATGTAAGTATAATAAAAATTATGTTTGTACAATAAAAAAGATTTATAATAAAAAGCTCCCCAAAAAATGGAGTTTTTGATCAATCGATTTTTATACCAGTAAAGTGTAATATCAAGTTTCAGTGTTATACTTATAAAATCTAGAAAACCTAGAAAAATATACATTTCTTCTGAATTGGTTGGATGCCACGATTTCGTACTTGACTTTTCTTTTGCAGGATGTTTCATATACTGGTCTGCAAAACGGTTAGTTTCAGGAACAATAAGATGTGTAAGCAGTTCATCGAAAAAATAATTAAAAAAAGAATCATCAGTGTAGAGCATAAAAAAAGCACCTACTACAAGCAGTTAACGGAAACAGAAGACACAGAATAAAAAAATACATTTTACTCAAACAGAAACACGAGCAATAGCCACACAGTCAGTCCTCCTTCTCTTCTCCGAAATAGTATCTTCCTTTGCATACTCTGTCAAGGTCATTGTTGTCTTGCATTTCAAAGCTTTGTGAATAATTTTGCTGGTAGCAGTGCAAAGCAAATGATAGTATTTCGGAAGAGTGTATATATACACCCGAGGCACTTATGCATCGGCTGAGCAAGGCGTATATGTACGCCCGAAGCAGTTAAGGGGTTGATTGAAATTATTTATGTTATGATTATACATTTTACAAATCTGTATTTTTTATTTAATTAGGTTGCGAAGATTTGTACGAAAAGAGAAGCATACTGTGGATAAGACTAAATTATGTGATATAGGCGAAGGATCAGGGATGAGTATTATAGTTGAAAAAGAAGACAGTATTGATGTAGCAAAAGATACAGAAGAAGAAAAAGAAAGTATGGTTATTTTCTTCTTTTGTTTTCATATCTTTAAGTTTACAGTTTGAGGTAAAAAAGCTAATAATGCTAAAAATTATGTGTTATTTTAGTAGAATTATCTTAATAAAACCCTTGAAAAAACAGATATAATGAAACCTTGGAGCAGGAAAGATGAAAAATGAGCAATGCCCTCATCAGACTCGAACCTCGGACCTCTCGAATACGCACCAAGCGCTGACCACTACACCATGAAAGCATGCTAAGAAGGTGGGAGAAATGCCTTATGTACTCCCCCTTTTAAATGGCGACTGGGGTTTAGGTGACCCAATTCCAAATCCTGGTGGTGGAGAATCATCATCCACCACCTTTTAGTTCAAGCGCCACGTTAGAGACATTAGGTTATTTCAAAGCTGGAAAGATGAAAAAATGAGCAATGCCCTCGCCGAGACTTGAACCTCGGAACTCTTGAATACGTGCCGAGCGTGCTGACTGCTACACTACGAAGGCATGCTAAGAAGGTGGGAGAAATATCTTACAGTGTGTGTTGATTTTGTATTTTGCTGTTAAATAGATTTGAATTATCCACAAATAGCAGAGATTTGTTTCTGTTGATGAGTCCTGAGTCTTTTCTGAACCATCAGGTTGATGTATTAATAAATGGCTTATATATCAAACCCTTTTGACTCTGAACCCTTAGTTTGAAGGCAGACAGAATCATTAGTCATCTAACAGTCTGTGTGGTTATTGATATGATTGGTAAGCTAGGTAATAAGAAAACCATACGGCTTTATAATTTGCTAAACCTTATGTAGACTTAGGAATTTCAGGTATCTTCCATTGTGACAGCATTTTCATTGCCGCAGCATTGTATCCATGAATTATCCTCCTGTGGATCTAATAAGCAGGACATTGGCAACAAACAGTCTTCTAACGTCTGTATGAATGGATAAGTGATTATCCTTTAAATCCTTTGTAAGAATTATGGAAACTTTTTTTTTTTTTTTTTTTTTTTTTTTTTTTTGCTAATATATATCTTCTTTAAAATTTAGTTACATGACCCTGTTTAAATATTGTAAATATCCTGACTAATTTCTGAAACAGTTATTGATAATCTGGAGTAACCAAGGCATTGACTTCAGCAAAATTGTTCTCTTATTTCAGCTATTGGAAAAGCACTTGGATAAGGATTTCAGAAACATTTGAGCTTTTTTGAAGCATAAATACTATTTGATCTTGTACCACTTATTACATCCTTATTGAATGCTGTTTTCAGTATGTTGTAAATCTCTTGGCATATTTTGCTGCTTAAAGCAGAAATGAACACAGAATTATTTTCTTTTGTTATACCACTCTGTGCAGCAGTGGCTATCCTCATGCTACCTATACACTATTGCATCTCATGCAAAACTTAAGGCCACTTGCAACACTTTGCACTGACATCATTATGACCACTTATAGCATTGCAAGGAATTTGTCACATTTACTGGTAGTTTTATATCTGTGCTGAATGAAAGAATTTCAGAGGTTGGCTGAGGGAATCGGTCTGGGAATTTACAATGTGCATGTTTTCACTGTGTTTCTTTTAGATTTTTAGTCCAAAGGGGCTTTGTCCCTGAAGGACTATTGTTTTCATTTTGCGATTTTGCGTTGGTTTTCTATAAATGTCCGTTTCACTTTTCAAACTGTTGCCACCAAATGTTAGGGTCCTGCTTATATTTGAAAATTAATAATGAAATCTTGCATAATATATTTTTTTCTCTTGTGGAAAACACGTACATAGACCTCAAATTTGAATGAGGATCCTCCTTGATATATGCATGGAAGACCAACTTGAAATTGAAATTTTTTTTTATCATCCATTTCATATTTTATAACACTTCAACAAATTTTTGATTAACAAACTCGGCGATTTCAAAGCGAGCAATGGCAACACTATACGAAAAATACATTTTTATCTCCAGCGCGCAAGACTCTGTACAGAAATTTAAAGAATGCTCAATTAAAACTTTGCGTATGCTATTGAATTAATTTTATGGTTAAGTACAAAGATGGGATTTATAATAGTAACAGACAAAATGTTAAAAAATGCCCCTTTGGACATAATTTAAGATCTGAAACCTCTCAGATTTTTATCTTTCTTTTCTATTTTAATATTGATGTTTCACGTAATTCATGTATTTCATGAATTATTTATAACTGTAATAAGTGGTAATCAGTCTATTTTTAAAAGCTGTTTTGTCATGTGTTTTCTTAATTAAAATTTTTTTCCCTTTACTCTTCCATCACTGAAATTAAAAATTTCTATAAGGCAAATGCTGGAAATTAAGAAATTAGACACATGAGAGACTTTTTAATGACAGTTTAGTAAGATATACAAAAATGCAAGTAATAAAAAAGACAATGCACTTTATGCATTAGAACCTCTTATTAACCATGGGATAAAGGTTTTTGCCCATTGCCAAAGAACATCTGCTAAATAGAAGTAAATTGGTTTTATAGTTCAAAGGTTTGGGTTTAAAGGGCAGTGTCCAGTAAAAAAAAAAAAAAAAATCATATATGCTTTTTTAATATAGTTGTATGTTTTTGTTGGCGTGAAAATGAGAGGTAGAACTTTTGGAGAATGTTTTCTTTTGAATTTATTTTTTAATAAGTTAAACTGTGCCTTTAGTCCTTGTGTTGTTTAACTGGAAATCTGTGTTCATTTTTGAAATTTGGTAAATATAGCATTAATGAGAGATAAACAATTTTTGGCTTAACCTTTAGAGGGAAAATACCAAGTTTTACTGACATGTTTATAAATATTCTTTTGCAAGCTTTAGAGCAATAATTCATTCAACACCTGTTTGATATAATGTCTCTGTAATGTCTGTTAGTAAAGAGTTGTTATACCATGAGTTGACCATATTAGTTTTATCTATCATTCATATCTTACAAATATACTGTATATTTTTATTTATTGTCTAATTTTATGAGGTGTAATTTTTGCAGTATTTCAAATAGAACATATGTATTTTTGGTATCATGGTAAATCATAACTATTCAAATTCCGTCATGATTTTGTGTGTAGGTAAAAAGGTCAGCATTAATTTTGGAAATTATAATACCATTTAAAGTTTATTAAATAGTAAAATGTAAGATATTTAAATGTAATACCTGTTACACATATTGAATGCAATTTTGCATCTTTATTGTAAATGAGGGCTTTTCAAAGGAGGGCAGACTTGTAACCTGTAAAAAAAATCAGTGATATAAAAAACAGCAAGAGAGATATGAGGATTTTTATCTCAAACTATTGCAAGCAAGAAGGAATTGCTACCAGTCAAGCTAAGATCAGGACAAGAAGCTCAGTGAAATTTTTAATGTGATATAAAACTATAAGTGCCCTCATCTTCCTTAAAAGGGTCTGTTTACCAAAATTATTTATTAATTTTAAAAATTTTTATTATATATATATAAAATATATATTATTTATATATTTATTAATAAAAAAGGAACTTTATGAGTAGGTTTTTTTTAGAAAGACATAATGCCTTAAAGGCTGCAATAGATATAGGTCTCGGTACCCGGCTTCGCTCAAGGGGTTGATATGAGATTGTGTGGTAATTGGAATAAAAGATTAAAATTTAAAATATAAGAACTAAAATTTTTTTATTAAAATCATATTGTAACTATTTACAATACTTGTTTAAAAACAGCATCTTTCATTTCGTTATGCGGAATATATATGTACAATTTTTTCTAATTTTCTTTTCAAGAGCTGTGTATAGCTGACCATGAGAAGAGTAGGAGTCTTTGAGGTTAATGCCGTAATGTTTTAAAATTTGTCCTTGTGCTTTGTCAATTGGAAAACTATAGGCTGATACAAAAAAGGCTTTGAATGATACACAGTGTTCCAGGACATTCCAGAACATTTGAGAGAATTTCCTGGAAAGTTCCGCAATTATCTGGGATGTTCCCGAATGCTCCAGACTATTCCCGAACATTCCACAACATCCCAGAATGTTCTGGAATGTCGTGGACTGCTCTGTCGGGGACGTATGTTCTGGACTGTTCTAGGAATTTCTAGAGGGCAAAACTTCGAGCCCTTATATCTTCAAAAGCACACCCTTTAGGTAAAAACGGAAACCTTCTTCATGGATGGGGCATAGAGGGCTACCACACCATGCAACTGCCTTGATCGTACCAGGACTCATTTCTGAGTTTTAGCATCACGCACATTGTATACTTTTATAATATACATTGATTAAATTTTAAGTGCTCTTAGCTTTCTTAAAAAAAAAAAAAAAAAAGTGTAAAAAAGTTGCTTATATATTTGAAAAGTAATTTTTCTAAATAGGTTTCTTTTTAGGAAGACTTAAAGGCTGAAAATTGACATAGGTTTCAGTTCTTAACAGTAAAAATAATTTTAAAGCTCTCTCCTCATGCAGCTTGTACATTTCAGCAATGTTGACAGCTTATGCAACAATGGATGCTATTTTCTGCAGTCTTATTTTTTTTTTCAATTATATTCAATACAAAGTCCATAATCCGGAATGATCTATAATCCAGACCTCAATGTCACGAACTTTTTTTTTGTATGCTTTACGCGTGCACGTTTAATATATAATGGACGGTATAAGCTGAGCTAAAACTATCTTTACTGATTCTAAGGCATTTCAGTTAATGTTGCAGTTTGTGCTGTTCCCTAATCTTCTAATTGAGCCGGCTTATTTTTTGCAGCGTTAGAGCAATTTTATAAAAATTAAGCTTGAACTTTCGATTTTCAAAAAGTTCAATGTGAGCTGCCGAGGATCTACAGTGAAAGCATGTTTCGTGTCATCAACAAAAATGGAATTGCTCGAAAATGTATAAAGCATTCTTCTCAAATCGAGGAGTGTGACATGGAAGTCAACTGTAAGACAAAAGCAAAAAAAGACATTTTGAATTTTTTGTGGATTCCGACACTCCACTTGCAATGAATAACAGAAAAAGTTATCGTTATGCTAAAAGTGATAATCATGACAGAGTGATAATTGAATGGGTTAGACAGCAATGCAATGAGGACGTGCCATTGACGGGTCCAATTCTAATGGCTCAAGCCAAAGTATTTCATGAAAAAATGAACTTAAACACTGAGTGCACGTATTCCTCAGGTTGGTTAACCAAATTTAAAAATCTCCATGGTATGAGACAATTAAATATTTCAGGTGAAAAACCTTCAGCTGATACTGAAGCTGAGGAACAATTTGCAGATGAATTCCGAACTCATTACAGTGAACATATCTCCAGAGAATTTACAGCACTGAACTATCTTTTTTGTCAATATGTAACCCGCAAATACTTTGCACCTCTACAGAAAAGGCTCCACGGTGTCAAGATGCCAAACGAGACTAACATTTAGTGTTGCAAATGCTGCAGGAATGCACAAGTGCAAACTTTTCATAATCGGAAAACATACACGACCTCGAGCATTTAAAGGAATAACGATTTTCCCCGTTGTATATCGCGCAAATAAAAGAGCATGGATGATACAAGGCTTGATAAATGATTGGTTTGAAAATCATTTCATTCCCGAGGCTCGGCGACATTTGAATTCGGTTGATTTACCTGAGGACTCAAAAACAGCCCTGATTGTGGGCAACTGTTTGGCACATACGTCACTTAAAGTTTTAGTGAAAGATAATGTATCCATATTATTCCTCCCTCGAAACTGTACGTCTATCATTCAGCCTATGGGTATGAGAACAATGCACGCACTGAAATGGAAATACAAAGTAGCATTTTTAAAATCTATGTTAAATTTTTTTAACAACAGCAAAACTATTCAAGATTTTTTGAAATTTTTTAGCATAAAATCGGTGTGGAGCATCGCAAGATCGGGGAAGGATGTGTCTCCAGATGCGTTAAAAAATGCTTGGCATATTTTATGGGCAGCTACCATATTTCATGGTGAGGACAATGGAGATGATAGCCATGAATTTGAAGGTTTTTGGACATCGCAAACTATAGGTGAAAGTTTCCAGTTATTGGATTTTGTAAAGATTTGTGGAGAAGCGGTAATAAATGAAGATGATGTAACAGAAGTTTTTCATTGCAATGACAATGCTCCAATCATCAATCAATTAACGGACGACGAAGTCTGTAGTATGGTTCTAGATCAAGAAAATATGCTTCTGATAGTGAAGAAAGTGACAGAGAGATTATTGAAAACGAAAAAATTTCGATTGACAAGTTAGTCAGTATTCTCGACACAGCAATTGCAGAACTTGAACAGTGGAACTTTGTAACTGAACAAGAAATTATGTCTGTTTATAGAATTAAAGAGAAAGTATTAGCACAAAAAATGAAGCAACTTAAACAATTTACATTGAAAGAAATGTTTAATAAAGTAAACAAATAAATATTAAGCCTTTTTTTTTTGTAAATTTTGATACCCTTTAGATCATAATTGCTTTTTATCTCATAAATTACAGTTTCATATTTTTAATTGTATAATTTCTGCATGCCATCTTACCAGATAAATTGATGATCTATAATCCGGAAAAACCTCTAATCCAGAATCGTCCCGACGAGCCCGGATTATGGACTTTGTACTATACCTATCTGGTTACTTTTGTAGTATCATTTCATATGTTAATTTTTTCAATGAAAGAATGTCTACTGCATTCAGAAAAGCAGATGATGAACCTGCAATTTTTTTTCTGTATGTAGTTATTTAAATTTGTATATGCTTTTAAACATGTACAGAAGTTGTACACTGCACAAAAAAAAGATGGGGGCAGTTCTATATCTCCTGTTCTACTGGGCCGATTGATGGAATTCAAATTTCATTTTTCATGTCTCCAAAGCACAAATTAGATATATATAACATTTATATAAGCTAATAATATAGGTATTTAGACATAAAATCAGACTTTTTTTGAAATGACATGCCAATTTTTTTCCATATTTCGATTCTATGACTCAAATTATGTCTATATATTAAATTTTATAAAATTTGGTGCGACATTTACTGAGAAATTAAAAAATTTATCTTGGCGAATGTTTTTCATGGCGAACATTTTAATTTATAGCTACCTATGTTCCATTCCTTTTTCTTTTACTGTATACGAGTGGAAAAAGGTCACGTTCATTACTTTCAAATAATTTTAACAATGTGCATAAACCACATTTGGCTTGTAACAAATATGCCAAATTTCAAAACACGTATGTAAATTCACGTACATCTTAGAAAAATTTAAATAAAAAACTCTAATTTTTTGCAAATGTGCCTAAGAAATACATCTACTTTAAAATGATGTTAAAAATTTTATAGGTTATAGAGCAAAAATATTTTCAAAAAATTTATAAAAATTATTTAAAAATAAATCCTAGAAATGTGCAAATTATATTTGGATTAAGCCCAAATTTCGAATTCTGGAAGAAAGAATCAAGTAAATTTATTTTAAAAAAAAAAAAAAAAAAGAGGTATTAATACATATATATCAAATTCAATTAACATTGAGGAACTAAAATTTTGAGAGCTCATTATTTAAAAACTATTTGTGCGATTTTTACAAAACTTGTGGGTTTGGCATAATTTGAGTCGTTGAATCAAAATAGAGGAAAAAATGGCATGTCATTTCAGAAAAAATCCGATTTTGTGTCAAAATACCAATATTAAGGCAATGATGTATATAAATCTAATATATATCCTAAGTCGCGCTTTTTGACATGAAAAACGCAATTTGAATTTCGTCAATCGGCCCAGTAGAAGAGATATAATATTGTCCCCCCCTTTTTTTTTTCGCAGTGTACACATGGTTTAAATTTTTATATTGTTTATTTATAAGGAGTAGCATTTTTGAATGCCTAAAGTTATATATTTCTAAGGTTTCTTAACCACAAAAGTTGACTATTAAGATTTTAATTTTACACTTGGTAATGGTTAATTTTGCAATGTGTTTTCAGCAATGAATTCCATTTATTTGTTTATTTCCAAATGTGAATTGCATTATATAAAAATATTTTTAATATTCCAGTTCATTCTGAAACAACTCCTGTACAACCTGAGGCTTTACCCTTTCCACCTGTTGAAAAGCCTACAGGTTGGTTTGGATATTTAAAGTCATGGATACTTTTGCATTTTTCTGAGCTTATTGAAGATTTTACTGAAACAGCTATTGAAGATGATGATAGTGGTGAAGATGATCCAGAAGGAGATCCCTTAACAGTTCGCAAGTTAGTTATATTGTTTCACTTTCTGTTGCATTTGATCTAACATATATTAGCATTATTTTTAAAGACAAAGGATTTGACAGTTGAATTAGTGTGATAAGATTAATACACTAATTAAGATTTATGTTACAAATTTTGTTCTTTAAAATTTATTATTTTATTAAATATGTTTTCATAAATTATTCATTTTCAAGAATTAAAAAATCATTCTTTTTTAATAAATACAGTGCAAAGAAATTAATTACTTGGTAATACAGTGCAAAGAAATTAATTACTTGGTAATACATATGTTGAAAGCTACATCTATAGAGCAATGGTTCTTAACCTTCTTTCCCCATGCACTCCTTTTACCATTGCTAGATAATTATTCCTCTGTTTCTTTTCCAAAACTTGACATTTATTTAAATTTAGAATATTTTTAATGTGTTTTATGAATGAAACAAGGAAAAGTATAAAAATTGTTGAGAAATAAAAAAACTTGAGTAAATGTAGTTTTTTATGTTCATAAACTAAAACTAAAATACTTAACAAATGAGTAAAAGAAAGATAACATTCTCCCCCCTGAAACTATAAAATTCACCCAGGGAGGAAGTCGCCTCTGTTTGAGAACCCCACAATAGAGGATTGATATGACTTTTTTATATTTGAATTTCATTTCATATCTTTTGATTTTTTAATTAAATAAATTCATTAGATTTTAGAAAGATTTTGCTGTAAGAATTCTTTATCAGAAATTGCCCAAGATCATGCTGAAGTAGAGTATTTCATCTTGTTTAAATGAAATTTGTTATTCAGATTTAATTGTTGACTTTTGTCTTCCCTTTTGTACTTTAAATCTTGACTTCAGAATATCCATAGCTTAGTTTTTTTAATATTTTGTGTCATATATAGGAAAAATTGAAAGAATTGTCTATAGTTCTGCTATTACAGTAATGTATTAATCATTCACAAAGTGTGAGAAATTGCTGATTCAGAAAGTTCTTGAATTTCGGAAACATAAAATCTTTATGTACACTGTGCGAAAAATAAATAAATAAATGAATGAATAAAAATTTTAAAAAAATAAAGGAGGGGCAGTTCTATATCTCCCGTTCTACTGGGTTGAATGACGAAATTCCAATTGCACTTTTCCATATCGTGAAAGTGCGACTTTGGATATATATTAGGTTTAGATACACCATTGTTCTGATAGAGGTATTTTGACACAAAAATCAGACTTTTTCTGAAATGACATGGCAATTTTTTACCATATTTCGATTCTATGACTCAAATTATGCCAAACTACTGAGTTTTGTAAGAATTGCATGAGCAGTTTTTAAAAAATTAGCTCGAATGCTAATTGAATTTGATTTATAGTTATTAATATCTCTTTTTTTATTGAACGTACTTAATTCTTCCTTTCATATTTTGAAATTCAAGTTCATTCCAAATAAAATTCACACGTTTTTTATGATTTATTTTTTAAATTTGTATTTTAAAATAATTTTAATCTTTTGTTTTTAATGAATGCACATTTTTTCCCCATACCAAAGCCGAAACTAAATAAACAACTTTTCTTCCTTATATGCAACATTGGATGGTGAATCATACTCCCGAAAATTGCTTTCCCCCCTTTCTCTGCATTAACGTAACCTATGGTGCACACGAGAGTACAGACAGGTGCACGTCGTTCTATTGGTCAAAGAATTGCGAAAACGGTAGAAAATTCTGGTACATTCGGTATTCTTTTCCCTCCCACCCAAATACTACACACGTTTGAATTTCTATCAAGATTTTAATAATTTGCATTCTCGTTCTGAGTGGTCAGTTCATATTCGTGTTTATTATGATCGTTATGCTTATATTATGAGCATATGTATGAATATTTATAGCAATATAGTTGCAGTAACTGTTGAAGTATAGATAAACTTCCAAAAATGAGTGTGTTTTTACACAGATTAACTTTCTAAGGAATAATATTCAGAATGGCTTAAATAAAAGGAAAGTAATCGAATAGTCAAAATAATTTCATTTTTTTTGCCAATACATTATACAGTACAGAGGTTGGAGGTTCTCCCCTTTCTCCGCAAAATCTCTAATATTGAAGCAGCGGACTTTTTTTTGTCACTGTCCAATCTGGTTTGAATAGGACTAAAAGTTTTTGTGGTCTACCCAGCCCAAGCGAAGATTGATTCTATTCCGGAAATTTAACGCAGTCTGTTGAAAATTAGAATCGGAAATACCCCAGATTAGTAAGTCTCTTTCTTTTTCTTTATTTAGTTCTTTATTCTCCGAATACCCGCAGATGTTGATTCCGATTGTGTAATATGACATATGGAAGAATTACGCCGCACGTATTGCGCAATCATGTTTGCGGTATTTTGCGGAGATAATTAATTTTGATGTTCAGTCTGAGATTTGTTTATGAACACTTAAAAGAGTTTTACTGTGCTTTCTAAGCAGAATATTTCTCAGTTCTGTTGGTCTGTTGGTCTATTTTTATGTGATGCACATATCGAAATGCCAAAATCATTTATTTAGCCTAAATTTAAATCTAAAGAACGGCTACAATCTCCCCTACTCCTCTTTTTCCAGTTACTATCCGGAATATTCGGGAATTTCAGAGTATGCGGATTAGTTAAGCTTTTACTGTTAAAGGATGACTGCATGAAGCAATTTCCCATCTTCTGATTTCAGAAATGTGCTTCTTTTTTACTTAAATTACTTTGCTTTGAATATATGTTAAGGGAAAACTGTTATGCAATGAAAATTTAGAAAATGTTCAGAATTTTGATTTATAAATTATTTAAATATTAATATGAGTGGAAAAATAAATTGTATTTATTATTAGGTGCCAAATGAATACAATTAATATGGCTTATCATTATTTATTTTCTATATTTTGAACTGAAATTTCATCACTAAATCTTGTAATATAGTTTAGTTCTGCATAGTTTTTTTTTCTCTCATTGTAAACTAATTCTGTAAATTGAACTGTCATTTAAAAATGAAAAAAAAAAGTTAATTGTTTTCCATGGTTGAGGTAATGCTCATTCTCTTAATAAATATTGCATTGCTCATATTTTAACTTACACGTCTAATTTTTCTTTTAAGGTTATGCGGTTGTGTATAATGTAATTAGACAGGTGCTTATTTTTTCCTTAAAATGTACTTGAAAAGTGCTTAACCCTGTTTAAATTTGGCATATTTATTATAAGCGATAGTAATAAAAATCTGCTTTATGCACTTTGTTAAAATTATTTGAAAGTGTGAATGAAAACTTTTTTCCCGCTCGTGGACAATATAGAAAAAGGAAAGGAAAATAGGTTGCCATAAATTAAGAAGTTCGCCAAGTGAATTATTCTTAGCACTAAATGAAAAACCAAGATAAATTTTTTATTTTGCCCATAAATTTCTCACCAAAAATTACAAAATTTAATAAGCATAATTTGAGTCGTAGAATCGAAATACGGAAAAAAAAAATTGGTAAATTATTTCAGAAAAAATCTGATTTTGTGTCAGAATACCTATGTTAGAACAAAACTGTATATAAATCTAATATATATCCTAAGTTGCGCTTTTGAGACATTGAAAACACAATTTTAATTTCGTCAATCGGCCTGGTAGAATGGGAGATAGAACTTCTCCCCTTTTTTTTTTTTTTTTTGTGCAGTGTACATAAATAGCACAATATATTAGAATTTTGACACATTCTGTTTTACATATATCAACTGTACAGCCGAAGAACTTTGAATAGTGTCTGATATTCTTTTAATAAACTAATGTGCTAATGCACTAAGTTAGTGTATTTTTTCAGATTATGAAAAGTTCAAACTTGTGCGTTCCTGCAGTATTTGTGAATCTAAAATTGTTAGTCTCGCTATGGAATCTTTGACACCAGTTGGAGTCTTTTCTGTAGAGGTTGCCTGAAAAGTATGGTATTTCAACTGAAAAGACCAGTTTCATCAGCATTGTAAGTTTGTCCTGGAGATAACTTTTCACTATCAGCGAGTTCAATGAATTCATCTGCAAATAGTTCAGAAGCTTAAGTATCAGCTAAAGCTTTTTTAGTTGCCTTATACCACGACGATTTTAAAATTAGGTTAACCAACCTATCAAATATGGGCACTGAGTTCTTAAGTTCATTTCTTCATGAAATATTTTGGCTTGAGCGATTAGCATTGGACCTGTCAGTAGCATGCACTTGCTGCGACGCTGTCTGACCCATTCAATCATCACTTTGTCATGATCGTCACTTTTAGCATAGCAAATAAATTTTCTTTTAATCATTGTCCACAAAAAAGTCATTAAGTTCCTTTTTTTGTTATGGTATGAAAAGAGTTTCAAAATTAGAAACTCTTTTTGGCATAATTAAAAATTCAAACTTTAATTTTCAGAAAATTGTTGTAATAATAACAGCATGCAATAAGTAATAAGCTGGATGAAATTAGAAGATTAAGGAGCAGTGCAATATGCTGTGTTAACTGAAATTCCTTAGAATCAGTAAAGTGTAATTTTAGTGTAGCTTAATAGCATCCGCTATACATTATTGGTTATACTATATCATGATATTAGCAATGAAAGACAAGTTGTTCCGTTAAATTTTGTGTTGCTCCTATCATGCCCTGAGGCAATTAACCCTGAATTGTATTAATTTAGTTATTTATTATACATAAGTCTGTTCCTTGCACATGCTTAAGGCTTATCCAAGTTCATGAATAAATAAATTCCCACATGTTACTGAGGGCCAACGCTAGATACTACATATGCCTGATGCAGCCTCTGCGGGTCATAAATTCTGCTACCGAGCGCCTCACCGAGTTCTAAATTTTTGACATCCCTAAATTTTGGGTCACAGTGCATTTCCTAAATTCTAAAAATTTTGTCACTTGGTGCTTCTCTAAATTCCAAAAATCTTGTCTTCTCTAAATTCTGTGCCACCTGGTGCTGCCATACGAGCTCTAGCACTGGTTCTGGGTTTATGTGAAAATCAAATCAGTTATTCTTAATTCAAATAGCACTAAGTGTAATTTTGGCCTATGAATCATTAACGAAGTCTATTTTTAACATATGGAAAGAAATTTTTGTTAAATGTTTCTTCGTTATCATTTAGTGCATGTTTTTAACCTCCTTGCATTTAACTTAATCTGTAATCATCGTCAAGCCTAATGTCAACATAAATGGTTACTGTACTCTTTGTTATTAAATTACTAATACAGTCAAAAGTCGTTAATTCGGACACCCATAATTCGGAATGATCTATAATCCGGACCTCAAAACTAAAAACTTTCTGCGCATGCGCCGCGTTGACACATGCGCATAGGCGTTTACACGTGCGCGTAAGACCTTTTACGACTGCGCATATGAGTGTGCGCAAGTGCAGAATACATTTTCGCGTGCGCGTTTTATGTATAATGTTGTATAAGCTAAAATTATCTAATTATCTATTTCAGTTAATGTTGATGATTGCGTGGTTCCTTAATTTTCGAATTGGATCCGGCTTATTATTTTTTGCAGACTGTAAGAGCAATTTTATAAAAGTAAGCTTAAACTTTCGATTATATCAAATAGAATTTCCAATATATATTTGTTAATACGTAAAGGATCTAAAGCGAAAGTATGTTTTGAAATCCGAAATCTGTTTATCAATTTCAAGCTGCTCGGCGGGGGGATCGCCGCGGCGGGCACATAATGAATTGGAAGTTGATCTGTCAACACTATCCTTATCTTCAGCGCAGATGTTTTTATTTTATTTGGCTTATAATTCCTTACCAAATGTAGTATTTCATCTCGATATGCTCCGTCTTTGATATGATTTAAAACAAGTTCCTCGTCATTATAATTCGCTTTCGATAGCGAAGAAAGTGACAGAGGTTATTGAAAACAAAAAAATTTCGATTGACAAATTAATCGGTGTTCTAGACACAGCAATTATAGGACTTGAACAGCGGAACTTTGTAACTGAACAAGAAATTATGTCTGTTTAATAGAATTAAAGAGAAAGTATTATCACATGAAACGAAGCAAAACTTAAACAACTTACATTGAAAGAAATGTTTAATAAAGTAAACAAATAAATATTAAGCTTTTTCTTTTTGCAAATTTTGATACCCTTTAGATCATAATAGTTCTTTATTTCATAAATTACGGTTTCATATTTTTAATTTTAGAATTTCTGCATGCTATCTTACGAGATTTAAACTGATGATCTATAATCCGGAAAAATCGATAATCCGGAATCGCCGAAGTTCCGACGAGTTCGGATTAACGACTTTGGACTGTATAAAATAAAATTGTTTAGGCATCATTGCATGAGTCATTACTCAAGTTGTCATGTGTTGATAAACATGCTGTGATGAAAGCAAAATATAATAAATAATGATTCGCCAGGTTGGCATCAGGGATTATAAGTTGGCCTTGGTTAAAATCCACGATGTTTCTATCTATAATGTTTCGGTTTGAGATGTATGTCAAGCAGACATGCAGCTACGGAGCCAAATTATTGATCACACAAATTTATGCTAAAGTGATTGTTTCTTCAATAACAAGGTATTTTATTTAGTGCCAAAGTGAAATTAAGAATTGGGACCCTCCACATGTTTTGTTATGGGGGGAGGGGAAATTAAATGTGCATGTGTAAAGCATAAAACAATTATTGATGGTTTTAGATCATTCTGGATATTGGAGTCCAGATCTCAGACTTTGTACTGTATTATTCACAGACTTGTGATCTATATCAGGTGTATACTGTTTTGATATGTACCATTCAAAGAAAAATTGTTAAATTAAAAAAAAATATTAATGCATTAAGCAGTTTTATGTAAATAAAATTACTGTCTTATGAAAAAAGTGGTATGAATTACTTTTAGTGTATATAGAGTTTATAATATAAATACTTGCATCAAAGCTTTTTTCTTTAATTTATGTAATAATGCTCATTATTTCAGAATTTTGGAGTAATAAAATAAATCAATAAAAATGATTTTTGAAAGAATTTAATGAAAAATATGTAACAGTAAAAGGATTTATTTGTTACATTCTTAATGTAAAATTAGGTATTTGTGTATTATCCTATCAGCCGGCCAAGTATTGTGATTTAACACCAATTATGGATAACTATTTATTTGACCTTTAGAATTTTGTAGTAATGATTGCCAACTGTTGCCGAAATTTCCATCAGTGGTCAATGGGATAATACCTAAGTACCTAAAATTGTAACACAAAATGAGAAAAGATTTCTTATTTATTAATTTAAAATATCTGAAAAAATCATTTAAGTTTGAATAATTTTATTATGAACGCACAATAAAATATGGAGAAAATTAGGCAAAATTTAAGAATCTAGCCTTTTGGCATGATTTGTTGGTTGTGATAATAATGAATTCTGGTTTTGAATTCTTGTATTTATCTATAAACTCAGATATATTTCCTTTTTTTTTTTTTTTTTCAGGCTGAAAGACAATTTGGTGAGATTTAGTAAGTAATGTTATGAATTGGGACAAAGTATTATTTCCTTGCACATGTTGTATCTGTAAAGCTAAATGATTTTTCCATTCTAGGCAATGCCACAAAGCCAGTTTCAAATTTTGCAGAAGGTATAATATCATTGCTAAGATGGAACTCTCCTGGAACAACAATGTTGGCATTTTGTGTAAGAAACTCTTATGTTTTTATTTTCTTTTACTTATTAATTTATTTTTTAGCATATGTTAACTATATCTTAAAAGCAATTCTTTCAAATTACTTTTAGGTATATATGTATACTGTATACCATGGCTGGCTTCTTCCACTTCTACTTTTCCTTGCTATTAGTCAATTGACTCTTAACTATATAAGGTAAAAAAAATTGAAGGTTACAAAATTAACTACTGTCTGCTAAATGTCTAAAATGTTTTTTAAACTAAGTAATATTCTTATTGTATCATTGTTTTATCATGTGTTATTTATTTCTTATTTGTGTCTTGCAATTTCTTCAGAATTAACAGTGATAAGAGATAGCATATTTTGTGTAGAAAATATCCTCCCTTCCCCCCCTTTTTTTTAAACATTATAAATAGTGGCGTGGCCAGAAAATCTTTTTTTTTTTTTTTTTTTTTTTTTTTTTTTTTTTTTTACTCTAAATAATATTATTAAGGAAGAAGTGGTTTGGTTAATGTTTCATAGGTGGCCTATAATCTTTAAAGGGAAATGGTTTGCTAATTATTGTTCAGTTGAGTGTAAAATATATTTCATTAAATTAATGTGGTTATGATTAATTTTAATATAACATAGTTACACTATTATATATTAGCAGCTAACATAAAATTGGCCTTCAGATGTGTGAAATTCCAAAGGATAATGTCACAAAACAGTAATGTTTCATCTCAGATTGTACTTTCAGTGACAAAACCTATTAACTGCATGGAGTTTTCATAATTTTCTTTTTCTCTGTGTATTAAGGCACCTTCATCATAGGCAACTAGCCTTCATATGTGTTGTCATAAATAATAAATCCAATCCAATCCAGTGTTCTTCCAAGTGAGGGAAAAATTTCATTCTCTATTTAATAAACCATTATGGTAATAGCATTTTCTTTCTTGTAGGTTGTAGACGTAGAATTCACACATTATGTCTTAAGAATGAATGCCTGCTTTCATATTACAAATTAGTTGGTAAAATATAAGCATATGCAATGTGTTTGTAAAATATTATGGCAACAATACTTTATTGCTGTGGCTCAAACATCATGTCAAATTAACACATTATGGCTCAAATGTGAGTGCATTATGTTCTTTGAAATTAGAGCATAGTGAGACCACTGTAATAAAATGTACACTCATCGAAGGTTTAAATGGGTTTAAATGGATTTTTCATGTTTGTGGTATCTATTCAGTTGCATAACTTATTTCTGTTATTGTTTTGAAGAATGATGAAAGGAAGTACATGAACAGTTTTGAAACCTTTTTTTATCTCTCAAATAATGTGCTAATAGCAGGGATTTTCCATAGTGCAAAAGTTTCTAGAATTCTTGCATGTTAGCTATTTGCTCTGCAATATCTTCAGAGAAGGAGGTAGTTACATTTCTTATAATTGGTGTATTTTATATGAATTATGGAATTTATTTTGTTATAATTCGTATATAGATTTATAACCAGTATAAATTAAAATTTTATTCACTTCTATAAAATTGTTGTTAAATATGGCTTTATTGGAAGGATTGATTCAAAGATATGAAACAGCTCAAGTATCGCACAAGAACAATAACGTATAATAAAAAAATATTACAAACATTACAAACAAAAGTAAGAACTAGGACAAATAAACATGATAACAAAAATAACAAGTTAAAAATATAAAGGAGTTTTATATGTTCCTTTCCTATGACAAGGAAAGGAACATAAGAGATGCAATCTTTACAAGGAGTTCATGAAAGTTCTGGCATTCCAACATAGTTTGCTTATCTCATCACGTTTCTGAGACTTCTTTTCTAGTTCTGGACATATGAGAAGATGCTCTGCATTGATAATGCCTGAATTACAAATTTGGCATGTACTAGATGGAAGGATGCCTATTTTATTAAGATGATGTGGCCTGTTTGCAATCTGTAATTTGCCACAGCCTCTTTATGGGGTTTTCGACAAAACATTCTCCAAGTGTCTTGAATGTTAGCCCAGGATTTTCCTGTTGATTTTGCTGCCTAGTCAGATTTAAGAATATCCATTAATTTCTCAAAAATATGCTTTTTTAGTGACTCTGGAGGAAGTGGTTTGTTGTCTTGTAGCTCAAGCGTTCTTCTCTTGGCCAGTGAGTCTGCCTTTTCATTACTGTTGATACCTACATTTGAAGAGATCCATTGAAAAACGATTGTTTTGTAGTATTTATAAAGTTCAAGGTTTGTCTTATTTCTGAGATAATTTAGGTATGTGTCATGATTTATAACTGCAGCCTGGATGGCTCCTTTGGAATCAACTAGAATAACCACTTTAGAGAAACAATCGATCTTTATCTGGAGTATTTCCAGAGCTAGTGAGATTGCAAGTATCTCTGCATCAAAATTCAATGTGAAGTTTTCTACAGGAGTACATTGGGTAAAGAGTTTACTGTATATACCAGCCCCATTGTTGTCTTGTGTATCAGTGTATATTCTAGTCCTGTGGTCACCAAATTTATGAAGCTTCTAAGCTATTGTATCATTTTTAAATCCTACTGTTAGCTACCAACCAGAAGATCTACAGTTTTTTTGTTTAATCTTAACTTTGTTTATTTGTCTATAAACTTACATTTCTAGTAAATATGAAATCAATTAAACTGTATATAACAAAACGAAACTGAAATTGAATTGTATGTAAGAAAGAATTGAGGTGTAGTTACTAATAAATAGCAAATGTAATGACAGATTAGACTTGTTAACTTTAATGAGAAGGATGGAACTCTTTTGTGTCGTCACCAAGTTGTTTAGTGTTGGGAGAGTAGGTAGTAGCTGCCACTCGAATACAGTTGTCCAATTGTTCATCTGTGACTCTGTATCTGTACTTATTTTTAAATTTCATACTGGAAAAGACGTCTAACACAGATATGTAGAGCTGAATATTGCCTTTACTTTGAGACAAACCTGGACCAAATTGGGTGTTTTTCTTTAGGAATGAGAGGCCAGATATTTTCAGAGATTGAAGAAAACGATTTTACAGATATATCACCTTGAAAATCAATCCTTTCCAACTCCACTGCAGCACTGAAATTCAAAATGCTCCATAACACAAGTAGAGAATTCTTCAGTATTATTCTCTATAGGCTATTTGACAAACAATTGAAATCCTTTTGAAATCTTGGAAGCGTTTTTTGAATTCACTACTTTCTTACTAAATGATACACTTAAATAGCACAGTCAACACACACATTTGTTGTTTACCTGGGTAAAGAAGTAATTGGTTTCCCATTCGTAATGAAAGTGATAAGTTTTTGCTTGAACAAATCATTGTTAGAACAGTGTGGTTATAAAAAAGTTTAGTAGTTTGAATGATTAATACTCATTATTGAGATAGGCAAATTAAGTTAAACTATGACTGTTGTTCCTAAATTGTTACCACTAAAAATAAAATTATTCTTTTTGTAACCATTTGAAAAGACAAGGGTATTATTTGCAGTAAAGTTGTAATTTCTTGTTTTTAAACTAGTTTGTCGTCCTTTTTTTTTTTTTTTTTTTTTTTTTTCCAGAATTGTTGTTGGTTGTGCATTAGCACTGAAGGCGTAATGAGTACGTTTCCTCAAGCACAGTTTTCATTAAAGAATCATAAGTCAAAAAATTAACTACGAAATCTTTATTTAATAAAATAGGATAAGTTTGCTTAACTTAAGCATAGCATAACAAAAAGTAATAATCTTCACAGACATTAAAACTTGAAGTATTGAAAAGAAGATAACTTACATAGAATCATCAGTCCTAAATATCAGGCTTACCTATTTTAGGCAATAAGAAAAAAGAAACAGGAACATACTTTGACATAGTACCTGAAAGAGAAGAAAGTACTACTGGATTAGACCTTTAGGTACAAGTAGCTAGGGTGAAAATCAAATATACTGCATTGCACACGAGCTTTACTTTCTCTCGCCAATATATATCTTGGCGCACGTTCGTTTCGTATGCCTTTCGAGTTTCATTATGCAAAATACCTAAATTTATGCTAACATTGCCCCTGTTTTGCTAATGAAACTCATACCAATTGCAATTCATTCCTGCAAAACTGAAATTTAGCTTTAGGAATTGGTTTAGTCATAATATCAGCAACCATTTGCTCTGTTGAAAGATAAGCAAGTTTTACTATTCCTTTGTTATTCAAGTCGCGTATATGATGAACTTTTGTATCAATATGTTTTGTGCGTGAACTGAATTTTTCAGATTCTACAAGTCTTATAGTAGACTGATTATCTTCAAATACCTTTATCGGTAGAGTTTGGGGTAGATTGAAATCTTCTGTTAATTTTAATAGCCATAATAGTTCTTGCGTAGCTTGCGATAGTGCAACATATTCAGCTTCTGCTGAGGATAAAGAAACACAAGTTTGTTTTCTTGAAAACCATGAAATACAGTTTTTTCCTAATAAAATAACACTTCCTGATGTAGATTTTCTATCTTCAATATCTTGTCCCCAATCAGCATCTGAATAAACTGTAATATTAGGTTCTTCACTCGACGAAATTTGTAAGGATAGATTCTTTGTCGTGTTTAAGTATCTAATGATTCTTTTAACAGCATTCCAGTCCTTTTGACGTGGATTATTACACCTTCTGCTGAGTATGTGAGTTGAAGCTGTGATATCTGGTCTTGTGATAGACGATATATACAAAAGACTTCCAATAGCTTGGCGAAATTTATCATTTGAAGTTAGGAGATTTTCTTCCTTGTTTAGGTTATAATAGTTTGTTTCCATTGGTGTGCTAGCGGGTTTCGCTTCTTCAAGTTGAAATTGCTTGACAAGTTGATTTATTTTATTTTTCTGTGATAAGAGATAACTTCCATCTTCCTTGCGATTTATTTCCATGCCTAAGAAATATTTAGCTTCACCAAGATGCGTTATTTGGTAACGTTTCTTTAAATCATTAATTGTTTGAAGAATTAGTCCTTCTTCTGTAGAACTTATTAGGATGTCATCAACATACACTATTAAATTAATTCTTTTATCACGAACCACTTTTGTGAAAAGACACGGATCTGCTTTGCTTTGACTGAACCCAAGATTCTTCAGTGTATTTTCAATTTCTGCATTCCAGCACCTAGCTGCTTGTTTGAGACCATAAATCGACTTCTGTAATTTACAAACTTTATGTCTTTCTTCCGGAACCACGAATCCTTCTGGTTGTTCCATATATATTTCTTCATTTAAGTTGCCATACAAAAAAGCGGTTTTAAACATCTAGTTGATGTACCTTGGCATTATTATACGCTGCCCATGCTAAGAAAACTCTTATCGTAGTGTATTTCACTACTGGTGAAAAAGTTTCATCATAATCACTGCCGTATTTTTGAGTAAATCCTTTGGCTACTAAGCGTGCTTTGTATTTTATATTTTTACCAGTTTCATCATATTTTGTCTTAAACACCCATTTGCTGCCTACTGCATGTTTTCCTGGTGGTAATTCTGTAAGTGTTATAGGTTTCATTTTCTTTTAGAGAATGTATTTCTTCTTGCATAGCCTTGATCCAAGCTTCTTGTTCACGTTTTGGTAAGTTTAGAATTTCTTCAAAGCTTTCTGGATCTTTAATTTTAAGTAAGATTGATTCTTCGTCTTCTGCTTTATAAGAGAATCTTTCCGGTGGGACCCCTTTGGTTGATCTGCTAGAAACCCTTCTTTCTACATTTTCTTCACATTTAATTAACTCTTCGGAACTTTTTGAATCTTCTGTAAAATCATCGCCAAGAGATGTTTCTTCATTATTTTCTTCATCTTGCGAGTTATTGAAGTGAATTAATTCTAAATCTTCAGCATTATTTTCTGCATGCAGTTTGTCAGGTAAAGACGCGTTTTCTGAAAATTTAACAGTTCTACTTACTATTATTTTCCTTCCACCTACATAAATCCTGTATCCCTTACTTCGTAAATCGTATCCTACGAATATTCCTTCTTCAGCTCTGTTGTCGAATTTACGCCGTTTTTGTTTGTTCACATAATAAAATGCTTTACAGCCAAATACTCGTAAGTGACTTAAGTTTGGTTTTCTACCATTCCACAATTCATATGGTGTTCTATCTGTGGCTTTAGTTGGTAACCTATTTTGAAGATATGCAGCAGTAGCTGCTGCTTCAGCCCAGAATCCTTTCGGTAATTTAGAGTTTATTAGCATAGCTTTTGTCATTTCTATTAAAGAGCGATTTTTCCTTTCTGCGACGCCGTTCTGTGCCGGACAATAGGAAATAAGGAAGTTAGTTTGATGAAAATGAATGAAGTTTGATGAAAATGCCGAGTTTCTTTAAATAATTTTCAGTACTTTCGTTACAGTATTCTGTACCGTTGTCGGATCTGAGAACCTTTATTTTCTTTCTAAATTTATTTGTTGTCGATGCAACATACTGTTTAAGTTTGTCGAATACTTCATCTTTTGAAGTAATAAAATAAATTTGAGTATAACGCGAATAGTCATCAATGAAAGTTACGAAATATCTTTTCCCTCCTAAGCTGTTGACTTCAATTGGCCCACACACATCTGTGTGCACTAAATCCAGTGGATTTTTAGATCTAAAACTAGTTTTGGGATAAGGTGTTTCAGTTAGTTTCGCTTTTACACAAGTAGAACATTCCACACTATGAGTGCATTTGCCAAGTTTAATGCCGTCTGCCAAATCATTTTTCTCAAGTGTTTTTATGGCATCTATATTTCTGTGGCCTAATCTTTGATGCCATTTTAGTATACAGTTCGTATTTGAACATGAAACATTATTAGCTAAGTATGCTTTCTCGTCAATTGAGTTTACGGTCAATTTATATAAACCTTGCTGAGCGTTGCCGTCGGCTACGAGTATATTGTTACGCTTTATGTAACACTTATTACTATCAAATGTAACAATGCAACCTTTATTGGTAACAGATTGAACAGAAAGTAAATTACTATCTAAACCTGGTACATACAATACATTTTCCAATTTTATTTGTGTAACCTGACCCTTTAAGTTTTGAACTTTAAAATAGCCTTCACCAATACCATAAGAATTTAATTTAGCACCATTGGCTACAGTTACTATTTGTTTATTAGAGTCATTTAACTGAGAGAAAAAGTTCTTATCACTCGTCATATGAGTTGAGGCTCCTGAGTGGATAACCCATTCTTGCGTTTGCGTGTTTTCATGTTTATTTTCCACTTTTAGAACTTCATTAAACTGAATCTGAGAATTTTCAGTTTCAATACTTTTAAGTTACTTATTTTTCTTTTTGTTATGGTTTTCTACACTTTGTGTATTTGCTATTTGGCATGCATTACTTTTATAATTTTGAGAATAGTTTCTTACTTTACTGTTACTTACATCTGTTTTCGGGAAAGTTCTAGCGTTGCGTTTTAAATGAAAACAGTCATTTATCGTATGGTTATTTCTCTTACAATAAGTACAAAATTGTGTAACAATACTTTGATTTATTTTCGCTTTTACTTTTTAAAGCAACTGAATCGTACTTTTGAACTTTCTTAGTTTCCACACGTCTACAATACTCATCTATTAGTTTGTTTTTAACATATTCTAGCGACAATTCAGCTTCCGATTTACTTTCTATTGCAGTTATTAAGGAGTTGTATGAATTTGGTAAAGAACATAGTAATATTGCTATTAAGTTATTTTCTTTAATTTCTTCACCTATACTACGCAGCTTTTCAGCCAATTCTAGTACTCCTTTGATATGTTCCTGCATTTTAGAACTTTCATTATATCTAATGGAATATAGTTTTCTAAGAAGAAATAACTTATTTGTTAAATTTACACGTTCATGGACACATTTTAACTTCTGCCAAACTTCTTTTGCAGATTTACTATGCAAAACATGGATAATTCGCGAATCCGAAATGTTTAGACATATTAAAGCTTTAGCTTTACTTTTACGATCATTCTTTAACTAAATATCAGTATCAGTTTCCCGGTTTTTCTTCGAATACAACATCATCTAAACCTTCTTTTATTAGAAGTTGTTTTATTTTAAATTTCCACACTGAATAATTTTCATCTGTTAATTTTCTATACAAATTGATTCTTTTAGAATAGACATATTATTTGTTACAATTATTCTTATAAACTTTGTAACTAGTATTTTCAACAAAGAGTTTTAACACTTTATGCCCCTGGAATCTTACAACATTTCAGTTTTTTTAGAATCATTTCTAAAAGGCAATTACCCTAATCAGTCTTATAAATCTTTTGTTGGTTGTGCATTAGCACTGAAGGCGTAATGAGTACGTTTCCTCAAGCACAGTTTTCATTAAAGAATCATAAGTCAAAAAATTAACTACGAAATCTTTATTTAATAAAATAGGATAATTTTGCTTAACTTAAGCATAACAAAAAGTAATAATCTTCACAGACATTAAAACTTGAAGTATTGAAAAGAATAACTTACATAGAATCATCATCAGTCCTAAATATCAGGCTTACCTATTTTAGGCAATAAGAAAAAAGAAACAGGAACATACGTTGACATAGTACCTGAAAGAGAAAGCATTAACTGCATTAGACCTTTGGCCAGGTACAAGAAGTTAAGGTGAGAATCGAATGCTTTGCATTGCACATGAACTTTACTTTCTCTCGCCAATTCGTTTTGTATGCCTTTCGAGTTTCATTATGCAAAATACCTAAATTTATGCTAACAATTGTTTTGTGTGTTCTTGAGAAACCCATTGCAATTTTCTGTTGTGTGTTCATGTTTTGTACAAATTCTGAATATCTTTCTGTTTTGTTGTTAAAATTTCTGTTTTATAATCTTGAAGGGGCTGGTTCTCCTCACCACATGTTACTCGAAAGCAAGAACATGAAGTAAGTTAAACTTCTTTTATATGCATTTTATTAATACTTTGATTTTTTTGTTTTGTTTGTTATTTTAAAATCGGGCATTAATATTAAAAAATGTGAAGGATTGCATTTTTACAAAAATTTTACTTTATTTATTTATTTTTAGGAAGGGGATATGGGTGTATCTGATAAATTCCAGTTAGTACTTCATGTTGCAAGAAAAGTTCAGGTATTTATTTCATCCTAATATTGGTAACAGACATAAAATATTATTACTCCTGTATTAATATTCTTTAATGTTTATCTTATTATAGAACCAATTGGGTCACATGGCTAATTGCTTGGAAAAAATTAAGAAGTATGTTAAAAAGTTTTCTAAATATTTATACATTGCATGTAAATATGTATCTTAATATTACTGTAAAAATTTACTATTCCATGTAAGATTTCCAAGATAGTATGAAAACTATTGTCCAGAAACTTCTTACTTGTTTCAGAGGTGCAAATGGACCTATTATTGGTTAAAAGTTAGAACAGCTAAATATATATCCATTTCACTTGGTAGCTGCTTGTAGGTATACATTACTTTAGTAATTTTGGTATTATATTGAAATCACCAGTGATTGAATGAGTGAAGGCTTGCTTGTGACCTTATTTGTTGAGGCAAGTACTTCCTGAAGGATAAAAAATCCTAAAATTACCATTTAGGATCAAACTCAAGAAAGTCATCTGGTAACCTGATGCTTAAAATCTTTTCCATGAAAAATGCATGTATAGTTTGAGAGCAAGTTTCTTCACTGTGCTTTTATAAAAACCATCATTCAAATGCCATTCATTGGTTTATAAGATTTTGTAAACTTGAAATATTATTATCATGATATTTGTTATCACGGGAAGCATCATTATTGAGATTACATAGTGATTCTGAAAGGAAATTAATTTTTCTAAAACATTTGAAATTGTATATTTATGCATTTATTTGTTATTTATTGTATGGCATCTAAAACACATATAAACATAGCAGTTTTTATGTATAGATTTACACTTGTTATACCTTGATAGTACAGCTGCGGGGGGAATGTAAGAAAGTTTGAATACATGAATTCCACTTTGATTAAAAGAATTGTAAGATGTGTTGTGAAGTTTGTTTTGATGTGTGTTAGATAAAATTAAAACTCTTTAGTTAAGAAGTTGTATTAAAATGAGCAGCATCAGATGGGTTTAGAATTAAAAAGCATTTTACTTTTTTCCATCCACTATCCATTTGTTTACTGTGCTTATGTATTTCATAAATGGTGATGAGATGTTTTTAAATGCTTTCAGAATAATAACAGTGTTAAAATGGCTCATCTTGTGATTTCCTTTCTTTTTGTTTTTCTTTATTGTTGGTGTCACTGTTCTTTCTGAGACATTCAGAGTGGTTTGATATTTTCCAGATATATCTTGGAAAATTCTAAAATGGAGCTAGTTGGAAGGAAATTATGTTTCTCATTACGGACAAAATAGCTGTCTTTTTAAATATTATATATTTAGAGATTAAAATAATAATATTGTATTTTGGTTAAAAGTTCTATAATTTATCAAACTGGCTACATATTAAAAGTGATTGCTTATTACAATTATACTTCACAAATTTGTTTTTCTGCCTGCCACCTTCTCAGGAATATGTTTTCACTTTGTTGAAAGTTTTGTTGTTAATTTCAGTTTAATGCTCTGGCAACAGCCTGAAGTAACTGGACACCTGTATTTTGTACTGGTTGTTGGATTCATTTCTTCATGCATTTTCCCTGCTCATCAGCTGTTTACTGTTCTAGGTAAGTTAATTATCTTATTTTGTATCTTTAATAATTTTTTAATCCTTTTATTATTAGTGTGGTGGTAATTTTTTAAACTGTCTTATGTAACAATAACTCATAATTTACATTAGATTTCTAATATTTTAAAAAAAGTGACTTCATAAACAGGAGGAAGTAGAGCATTATATTTACTAGTGTAAGTGTTCTTCATATCAAAATTGTGAATTTGAATTTTGAATGTGGTAAATCACATCATTGATCTAGTAGCTTTGATGGATGCTAAGGATAAAAATTATTCTCCAGAAATATGATTCAAAGTTTATATAAATTTAATACATTGGATAGTGCTTCATCAGTTGTAAAATGAAAGTTATTAGATTTCTTAGACAAAAATACTTGGAATTAAAATTTTTAGCTAAAATTCACAGTTTTTTTTTTTTTTTTTTTTTTTTTTTTTTTTTATTAATGTGGAATTAAGGAAATATAAATTTCTAATTGAAGACTGATTGGCTGGTTATATGGATATGCAAAATACACTAAAGCTAACTACCTAAGGGTTGGCATGCCTTCATTGAGAATGTTCTAATGGAATTCACTCATATTCATGTAATACATGGAAAAAACCATGAAAAACAATCATGCAGCAAGACTGTTTCCCCTGGGTTTGATTCCAGAATGAATACCAGTATTTAGCAGTCTTTAACAGCTCTTTAATTGAAGAAACAGTATGGTTAGTTAGTTTTAAGTGACCTCTACAGATTGAATCATTCTTTTCTGTCTTCCCCCTTTCTTTAACCAAATGTTAACTATTGCATTTCAGTATTTGGCTTATACATATTAATGCAATGACTTTGGTTTAATTTGGCAATTTTTTACTGATGTAAAGCTAAAAGTTACCAGGTATAAAGTGGCAATTTTCCCAACTTTCTTTAAAAGATTCCAAAACCGTAGATGCTTATTGTGAGCCGGCAAACATTATTAAAATTTCAAAAGAAAATACTCTTTAGCAGTTTAAAATAAAAATTTTAATCATTAAACTAGCGGGCTGAAGTCTGCTTTTGTTCGTTGGGATTCGAAAGTTGGACCGAACTACCAGTGTTCAGCGACTTTACCGCTCAGCCAATGCAGCCAGCTTGTTCACCGGGATTTGAAAGTTGGACTGAACTTCCAGTGTTCAGCAATTTTACCCGGGCTTTGTCTGCTTTATTCACGTATGTATCCACAAGATACTGCATACACGTTACACATGCAGAAAACCACGAAAACACCCATGCAGCCAGCTCGTTCGCCGGGATTCAAAATTTGGACCGAACTACCAGTGTTCTTTGATTTTACCCTAGCTGCACCTGCTTTATTCATGTATGCATCCACAAGATACTGCATACACGTTACACATGTGGAAAATTACGAAAACACCCATGCTGCTAGTTATGGCGCACTTATATAGATAGGATACAGAATAGTACAAATTGATAATAATTAACACATTCAAACCACATTGAGAAGTAACTTAAAGTCAGCACAATACAAATTAGATACTAATTAACAAAGTAAATAAAAGCTTAATGATTGATACTATTTGACATACTCATTGAATGACACTAATTGCTTAATGGATAATACAAATACATTTAATTAGTAATAAGTATCTAATAATAGTCAGCACTATAGTAGTAATAATAGTAATAACACAGTAATTAATTGCTTAAACAACAATACTAACAAAAGCAGTGAATGATTACTTAGCTCAGTATCGCAAAAGAGCAGGCTGATTTACGCTATTAGAATTATTAATTTGGAGTACTCAAAGTTGCTCAATTAATCAGATTAAAATCACAACTTTATGCAAGTCCGAAAAATGCACTAAAAATTCGTATCTCGGGAACCAGTCATCCGATCGGCTCCAAATTTAGACTCTTACACCTCATCGATGTTCAAATGAGGGTTTCCCTTGGTTCTAGGTGGATTGGCAAATTAGACAACTAATTAGCATAATGACTAAAAATGCTCCACTACGTTACTTTCATCCCTGGCAAATGGCCTTGACGATTCGAACCGTCGACTGGATACTTGGCTGCCCACATCCACACCTGTCGCTTTCGAGCACAGTATTCCATAACACAATACGCGAAATCCTCTTATAATTTTTTTCCTGCATGTATGCAGCGATCTGTTTTTGCTTAAAAAATGTCGGAGAATTGCACAAAGGTGGCATCACACATGACTACATCAGTGCACCAAATGCATCTCATCATTGTTGTGATTAGAGATTGATTTAAAATCAAAATTTTGTTGCAGTTTCTTAAATTGTTAGCAAATTCCACAAGGGCATGTTTAAAAATTGAGTTCAAGGTAAAAGAGATTACGATTTGTCTATAAAAGCATTGGAACTTGGAATATAACAAAATGAATACATACTAAACAAAATATATATAATTGTATAAGAAATCAGACTGGATTTTTCCCCTCTTACTTGCACTAAAGTTTCATTTACACCACTATGAAGTAGCTTTTCGTGACAGTTTAAAATAATTAAACGAGAAAAATAATTATTTGGTGTAATATTATAGGTAGAATTTCATTGACATCTAATGATGATTTTACTAATCTACTTCCAGCTCTTAAACAACCTTTTCCATCCATTACTGGATTTAATCCAAGCAATTTGGAATTATGAGACAATGGTTTGTTTACATTTAACATAATTCAATTTTGCAAAAAAATACTCACCTTGTGATAAGTTAATCCAATAACACATAGCATTAAATATTTCATTTTTGGTCACAGGACCAATCACTCTATTCTGTGACTTTAAATTATTAATGAATCTAAATATATATGACATGACTCTTAAAAGTTTACTTAAGTCACCAAAGTTCTCCAATTTTAACACGGGTTGTAAAGGTTGAATGCTGCTGTTAACTTGAGTCACAAATCTCTCTTTAGCACTGTCTACTTACTATGTTACAATGCTTGTTCACTTTAGGCCAATTCATTTCATCTTGATGAAGCCATGAAGGTCCATGCCACCACACAAGCTCACTCACTTTAACACCACATGTGATTTTGTCTGCAGGATTGTCTGATCCGGGACAATGATGCCACATACTCAGGGGTGTTTTATCTTGAATTTCCAACCCTCGATTTTGTGCAAATGTTTTCCATTGTCGTGGTGAGTTTTTTATCCAGTGAAGCACAATGAGAGAAGCGGTCCATAAATAAATCTTAGCTTAAGGAAAATGCACACGGACTGTAGTTACAAGTCTTGCACTTAACACTGCTGCCATGAACTCGAGTTTTAGTAAAGATAATTTTTTCAGAGTCACTCTGCTCTTGGCTATCACTAATTCCAGAATATTTTAAGCTATAGAATTTCACATACACTTCTGCGTCGTAAGCACTTTGAAATTAATCACTGAACTAATGTAGTTTCAATGTTTCAGGCATTTCATCAACATCGCGAAAATGCCACCGAAGTATTTGGATATTCGGTAGATCACATAGTTGCCAATACTGTTTGTTCCACTTGTCTTGCAATCCTGATGGGATAATTTCATCCTAATCAATACCTTTCAGCCATGGTTCTTGAAACAGAACTTTTGCTTGTATCACATGCAGTAAAAGAAACCCAACAGGATCGAAGATCTTTCAATCAGCTTCCAAAACACAACGTTTTCTTTGCTCGTGTAACAGGATGAAATCTATAATGTCCTGAGCATTAAAGCATAAGATATTCTTATTAGTATCAAGTCCAAAAATCTTCGAGGGAGAATCACAATCAGGCAATTTAAAGCTTACGAAGTTCTTACTTGATTTGTACTGGTTCTTTAAAGTATTCGAATTTGAATTCCATTTGGTGAGAGACATTGCTGCCCTTTTTCATTATATAATTGGTTTCATGATATATTTGTACAGTTTTCTCATCTGTAGCTGATCCACAAAGTCATCAGCATACATTTCTAAAAGTTTTCTAACATTTCTACAGTCCTGGGATAGACGTTTTCAAATTTCTTTAAATTTTGTTTAATGCAAGCACATAGCAAAAAGGGACTTAATTTTGCTCCAAAAATTACATGACACATCTGATAAACTTGAATTCTCGGATTGCCCAAACTTGAATTCTCATCAATCCACAAAAATCACATTGAATCCTGATCTTCAGATGCAACAGAAATTTGCAAAAATTCCTTCTGAATATATGACGTAAATGCAATTCGATGAAATCAAAAATTTATTATAACTTTCAAAAGTTCAGGAAGAAGAGTTTCTTCTTGAAGTAAATTATCATTTAGATATTCATGATTTTTTTTTCTTTGAAGAAGCGTCATAAACAATGCGAAGTTTTGTCGAATTGTAATCTTCATGGATGACAGCACAGTGAGGAATATAATAAGTTCGTTTCCCAGATTTAGTCCCAGGATCAGCCTTTTCTATAATTTCTTCCTTAAACTGACTGTTAGTCACTTCTTTTGTATTGCACATAAAAGTTCAAGTTTGATTTAAATTGTCTGATCAAATTTTAAATTTGTTTTCAGCATTCTTAAAATTTTCACTTAAAATCACAGTCTCATCTTTCCTCCAAATCTTTGACCACCCTTTTGTTTCAATCAAGATTTTAAATATCTGTAAGGCCATTTCATTTTGTTCTTGACCAGAAATATTCTAATTCCTATAGATTCAATATCCCAAAATGATTCTGCGCTTTTTAGAAGCTTCTTTTCTACATGTATGTTTAAACACACATCTTAGATTTGAAAGTCTGATGAAGAAAATCTGCCCTGTGTACAACACCCAAACAAGGTTTACATCGCTATAGCATTTCTGTTAATCCTTTTTTTTGTCTTCGCTTGCTATTTTCCACATAATGTCCACGCTGATTAAAACGAAAATATCATGACTCGTTGCATCGGTGCAGATGTTCAAAGAGATGTCAAATATTTGGAGTTTGAATTTGATTTCTACATCTAATACACATATATCTGCATTTGTTATGACTAGTACTTCTATGACCTCTAGAT